ACTTCTCTTTAAGAGGCTCCTCTGTCCTCCACTCGTTACCTGTATTAATGGCACCTGTTTGAACTTGTTATCAGTATAAAAGACACCTGTCCACAACCTCAAACAGTCACACTCCAAACTCCACTATGGTCAAGACCAAAGAGCTGTCAAAGGACACCAGAAACAAAATTGTAGACCTGCACCAGGCTGGGAAGACTGAATCTGCAATAGGTAAGCAGCTTGGTTTGAAGAAATCAACTGTGGGAGCAATAATTAGGAAATGGAAGACATACAAGACCACTGACAATCTCCCTCGATCTGGGGCTCCACGCAAGATCTCACCCCGTGGGGTCAAAATGATCACAAGAACGGTGAGCAAAAATCCCAGAACCACACGGGGGGACCTAGTGAATGACCTGCAGAGAGCTGGGACCAAAGTAACAAAGCCTACCATCAGTAACACACTACTCCGCCAGGGACTCAAATCCTGCAGTGCCAGACGTGTCCCCCTGCTTAAGCCAGTACATGTCCAGGCCCGTCTGAAGTTTGCTAGAGTGCATTTGGATGATCCAGAAGAGGATAGGGAGAATGTCATATGGTCAGATGAAACCAAAATATAACTTTTTGGTAAAAACTCAACTCATCGTGTTTGGAGGACAAAGAATGCTGAGTTGCATCCAAAGAACACCATACCTACTGTGAAGCATGGCGGTGGAAACTTCATGCTTTGGGGCTGTTTTTCTGCAAAGGGACCAGGACGACTGATCCGTGTAAAGGAAAGAATGAATGGGGCCATGTATCGTGAGATTTTGAGTGAAAACCTCCTTCCATCAGCAAGGGCATTGAAGATGAAACGTGGCTGGGTCTTTCAGCATGACAATGATCCCAAACACACCGCCCGGGCAACAAAGGAGTGGCTTCGTAAGAAGCATTTCAAGGTCCTGGAGTGGCCTAGCCAGTCTCCAGATCTCAACCCCATAGAAAATCTTTGGAGGGAGTTGAAAGTCTGTGTTGCCCAGCGACAGCCCCAAAACATCACTGCTCTAGAGGAGATCTGCATGGAGGAATGGGCCAAAATACCAGCAACAGTGTGTGAAAACCTTGTGAAGACTTACAGAAAACGTTTGACCTGTGTCATTGCCAACAAGGGGTATATACAAGTATTGAACTTTGTTATTGACAAAATTATTCCACCATATTTGCAAAAATCATAAGAATCCTACAATGTGATTTTCTGTTTTTTCTCATTTGTCTGTCATTAATGACCTATGATGAAAATACAGGCTCTTATTTTAAGGGAACTGACAATTGGTGGCTGCATAAATTACTTTGCAATAAATTCATAAAGATCCTCAACAATGTGATTTTCTTTTGGGTTTTTTTTCTTTTTTATTACTGTACCATATGAAAATTAAGGCCCCCTCTCATCTTTTAAGTGGGAAATTTTAAATTGGTGGCTCTAAAATATTTTTTTTCCCCCTGTAATACCCCTTTTTTGGCAAACACAGGCAAACGTTTTTGAAATCTTCACAAGGTTTTCAACAGTTGTGGATTTTGGCCCTTCCTCCCTCAGATCTCCCCTAGGCATTTATTTTTTTGGGGGTGTGCGGGGGAACCGGATTTAAAATCCCTCCAAGATTTTCTATGGGGTTGAGATCTGGAGACTGGCTAGGCCACTCCAGGACCTTGAAATGCTTCTTACGAAGCCACTCCTTCGTTGCCCGGGCGGTGTGTTTGGGATCATTGTCATGCTGAAAGACCCAGCCACGTTTCATCTTCAATGCCCTTGCTGATGGAAGGAGGTTTTCACTCAAAATCTCACGATACATGGCCCCATTCATTCTTTCCTTTACACGGATCAGTCGTCCTGGTCCCTTTGCAGAAAAACAGCCCCAAAGCATGATGTTTCCACCCCCATGCTTCACAGTAGGTATGGTGTTCTTTGGATGCAACTCAGCATTCTTTGTCCTCCAAACACGACGAGTTGAGTTTTTACCAAAAAGTTATATTTTGGTTTCATCTGACCATATGACATTCTCCCAATCCTCTTCTGGATCATCCAAATGCACTCTAGCAAACTTCAGATGGGCCTGGACATGTACTGGCTTAAGCAGGGGGACACGTCTGGCACTGCAGGATTTGAGTCCCTGGCGGCGTAGTGTGTTACTGATGGTAGGCTTTGTTACTTTGGTCCCAGCTCTCTGCAGGTCATTCACTAGGTCCCCCCGTGTGGTTCTGGGATTTTTGCTCACCGTTCTTGTGATCATTTTGACCCCACGGGGTGAGATCTTGCGTGGAGCCCTAGATCGAGGGAGATTATCAGTGGTCTTGTATGTCTTCCATTTCCTAATAATTGCTCCCACAGTTGATTTCTTCAAACCAAGCTGCTTACTTATTGCAGATTCAGTCTTCCCAGCCTGGTGCAGGTCTACAATTTTGTTTCTGGTGTCCTTTGACAGCTCTTTGGTATTGGCCATAGTGGAGTTTGGAGTGTGACTGTTTGAGGTTGTGGACAGGTGTCTTTTATACTGATAACAAGTTCAAACAGGTGCCATTAATACAGGTAATGAGTGGAGGACAGAGGAGCCTCTTAAAAAGAAGTTACAGGTCTGTGAGAGCCAGAAATCTTGCTTGTTTGTAGGTGACCAAATACTTATTTTCCACCATAATTTGCAAATAAATTCATAAAAAATCCTACAATGTGATTTTCTGGATTTTTTTCCCTCAATTTGTCTGTCATAGTTGACGTGTACCTATGATGAAAATTACAGGCCTCTCTCATCTTTTTAAGTGGGAGAACTTGCACAATTGGTGGCTGACTAAATACTTTTTTCCCCCACTGTATTTCGATGGCCATGATAAATAGATATGCCAATAGTTGACAACCTTGTTTTACTCCTCTTGACAGTTTTAAACTTTCTGAGAAATAGCCATTATTTACTATTTTACACCTAGGGTTACTATACATGATTTTAACCCATTTTATAAGAGATTCTCCAAAATTGAAATGCTCCAGGCATTTATATATAAACTCCAGTTGAACTTTATCAAATGCCTTTTCAAAGTCTGCTATGAATAGCAGGCCTGGTTTCCCAGATGTTTCATAGTGTTCTATTGTTTCCAGTACTTGCCTTATATTACAGTGAGGGAAAAAGGTATTTGATCCCCTGCTGATTTTGTACGTTTGCCCACTGACAAAGAAATGATCAGTCTATAATTTTAATGGTAGGTTTATTTGAACAGTGAGAGACAGAATAACAACAACAAAATCCAGAAAAACGTATGTCAAAAATGTTATAAATTGATTTGCATTTTAATGAGGGAAATAAGTATTTGACCCCCTCTCAATCAGAAAGATTTCTGGCTCCCAGGTGTCTTTTATACAGATAACGAGCTGAGATTAGGAGCACACTCTTAAAGGGAGTGCTCCTAATCTCAGCTTGTTACCTGTATAAAAGACACCTGTCCACAGAAGCAATCAATCAATCAGATTCCAAACTCTCCTCCATGGCCAAGACCAAAGAGCTCTCCAAGGATGTCAGGGACAAGATTGTAGACCTACACAAGGCTGGAATGGGCAATAAGACCATCGCCAAGCAGCTTGGTGAGAAGGTGACAACAGTTGGTGCGATTATTTGCAAATGGAAGAAACACAAAATAACTGTCAATCTCACTCAGCCTTGGGCTCCATGCAAGATCTCACCTCGTGGAGTTACAATGATCATGAGAACGGTGAGGAATCAGCCCAGAACTACATGGGAGGATCTTGTCAATGATCTCAAGGCAGCTGGGACCATAGTCACCAAGAAAACAATTGGTAACACACTACGCCGTGAAGGACTGAAATCCTGCAGCGCCCGCAAGGTCCCCCTGCTAAAGAAAGCACATATACAGGGCCGTCTGAAGTTTGCCAATGAACATCTGAATGATTCAGATGAGAACTGGGTGAAAGTGTTGTGGTCAGATGAGACCAAAATTGAGCTCTTTGGCATCAACTCAACTCGCCGTGTTTGGAGGAGGAGGAATGTTGCCTATGACCCCAAGAACACCATCCCCACCGTCAAACATGGAGGTGGAAACATTATGCTTTGGGGGTGTTTTTCTGCTAAGGGGACAGGACAACTTCACTGCATCAAAGGGACGATGGACGGTGCCATGTACCGTCAAATCTCCTTCCCTCAGCCAGGGCATTGAAAATGGGTCGTGGATGGGTATTCCAGCATGATAATGACCCAAAACACACGGCCAAGGCAACAAAGGAGTGGCTCAAGAAGAAGCACATTAAGGTCCTGGCGTGGCCTAGCCAGTCTCCTGACCTTAATCCCATAGAAAATCTGTGGAGGGAGCTGAAGGTTCGAGTTGCCAAACGTCAGCCTCGAAACCTTAATGACTTGGAGAAGATCTGCAAAGAGGAGTGGGACAAAATCCCTCCTGAGATGTGTGCAAACCTGGTGGCCAACTACAAGAAACGTCTGACCTCTGTGATTGCCAACAAGGGTTTTGCCACCAAGTACTAAATCATGTTTTGCAGAGGGGTCAAAAACGTATTTCCCTCATTAAAATGCAAATCAATTTATAACATTTTTGACATGCATTTTTCTGGATTTTTTTGTTGTTATTCTGTTTCTCACTTTTCAAATAAACCTACCATTAAAATTATAGACTGATCATTTCTTTGTCAGTGGGCAAACGTACAAAATCAGCAGGGGATCAAATACTTTTTTTCCCTCACTGTATCTCCAATGTATCGTCCATGTAAAAAAAACCTGTCTGATTAGAATGAATAATGTCTGACAATACCTTTTTAATTCTATGCGCTTGAAAACTAAAAAACTAAAAAAATGGTCCTTTTGGAGCCTGTCTGGACCTGAGCGCGTTAACCAGTAAATACAAGAGGGCGTGACCCAGACTGCTGTCCCACGTGCCAGATATAAATACATTTAGTCTCGGCTTCAGACGTGTTCTCTCAGCAATCACTTCAGGAGGAGCGACAGACACCGTGGACGGTCGCACTGTACATCATGGCACCCAAGAAAGTATGCATCATTGGCTCTGGCAACTGGTAGATACCTTTTTATATTGATTTGTTCTAAAATGTTTAGGCTATTTGATTAAGTCTTTCTGAACTGATGATGCAGAATTATCTTACTGTACTGTACAAGAGACAGCTGTTTTTCCATGTCAGTGGTTTTCAAATGCCTTTCACTTACCGGACTGTAATTTGAGTTGGTAATAATACTGTCAACCTTTGAGTTGGTTGTGTATCAGGTTGTAGGTTATAGAAGTGCAGGTGTTTGAGAAGAGTGGATCGAGTGATCTCACTAGAAACAGATGACTGTTTGAAAATGACTGTGTAGAGCACTGTTGCTGTTTGCTTTCCCCAGCTTTCTTTGTTTGCCTTATCAGACTAATATTAATAATAATAATAACACTTTTATTGTCTCGATTATGCTTACCTATGGTGGTAATAATGCAACATAACTGGGGCAAATATCAGAATTTTATTGCATCTACTGGAATTGCTGGATTATTTTAGTTTCAGCTTGTGACAGCACTGGATGTTTGCATAATACAGTTCTACTCCTTATAGTTTAAACACACAAACACACACACATGCACAAACACAGGCTGCCTCCAATTCACTGTATGCATGAGATCAGGTAATGACTAAATAAAATGTTTCTGATTATATGTTTCTGTCGGTGATGAGGAGATGGGAATACCAAAGTCTAAACTCTAACCTACAGGCTTTAAACCTCTGTGATAAAACGACACTATGATTCTTCATGATACACAAACCACCATTTACAAAGTGGTGATTAGCTCATATTAACCATATTATATAATGAAGTTGAAGGGTGGTATGTCCAACCAACCTGGACTCAGGGGTAGACGTAACATACAGTTGAAGTCGGAAGTTAATATACACCTTAGCGAAATACATTTATACTCACAATTCCTGACATTTAATCCTAGTAAAAATTCCCTGTCTTAGGTCAGTTAGGATCACCACTTTATTTTAAGAATCTGAAATGTCAGAATAATAGTAGAGAGAATTATTTATTTAAGCTTTTATTTCTTTCATCACATTCCCAGTGGGTCAGAAGTTTACATACACTCAACTAGTATTTGGTAGCATTGCCTTTAAATTGTTTAACTTGAGTCAAATGTTTCGGGTAGCCTTCCACAAGCTTCCCACAATAAGTTGGGTGAATTTTGGCCCATTCCTCCTGACAGAGCTGGTGTAACTGAGTCAGGTTTGTAGGCCTCCTTGCTCGCACACGCTTTTTCAGTTCTGCCCACATATTTTCTATAGGATTGAGGTCAGGGCTTTGTGATGGCCACTCCAATACCTTTACTTTGTTGTTCTTAAGCCATTTTGCCACAACTTTGGAAGTATGCTTGGGGTCATTGTCCATTTGGCAGACCCATTTGCGACCAAGCTTTAACTTCCTGACTGATGTCTTGAGATGTTGCTTCAATATATCCACATAATTTTCCTTCCTCATGATGCCATCTATTTTGTGAAGTGCACCAGTCCCTCCTGTAGCAAAGCACCCCCACAGCATGATACTGCCACCCCCGTGCTTCACGGTTGGGATGGTGTTCTTCGGCTTGCAAGCCGACCCCTTTTTCCTCCAAACATAACGATGGTCATTATGGCCAAACAGTTCTATTTTTGTTTCATCAGACCAGAGGACATTTCTCCAAAAAGTACGATCTTTGTACCCATGTGCAGTTGAAAACCATAGTCTAGGTTTTTTATGGCGGTTTTGGAGCAGTGGCTTCTTCCTTGCTGAGCGTCCTTTCAGGTTATGTCGATATAGGACTCGTTTTACTGTGGATATAGATACTTTTGTACCTGTTTCCTCCAGCATCTTCACAAGGTCCTTTGCTGTTGTTCTGGGATGGATTTGCACTTTTTGCACCAAAGTACGTTCATCTCTAGGATACAGAACGCGTCTCCTTCCTGAGCGGTATGACGGCTGCGTGGTCCCATGGTGTTTATACTTGCGTACCATTGTTTGTACAGATGAACGTGGTACCTTCAGGCGTTTGGAAATTGCTCCCAAGGATGAACCATACTTGTGGAGGTCTACAATTTTGTCTGGCTGATTTATTTTGATTTTCCCATGATGTCAAGCAAAGAGGCACTGAGTTTGAAGGTAGGCCTTAAAATACATCCACAGGTACACCTCCAATTGACTCAAATTATGTAAATTAGCCTATCAGAAGCTTCTAAAGCCATGACATCATTTTCTGGAATTTTCCAAGCTGTTTAAAGGCACTATAGTTTGTTAACAAGAAATGTGTGGAGTGGTTGAAAAAAGAGTTTTAATGACTCCAACCTAAGTGTATGTAAACTTCCGACTTCAACTGTAGTAAACGTAAATCCAGGATCTCCAATTAGTATGATATGTTATGTTTCGTATGGTATGTATTAATTTGTTGATGTCCATCATCCATTTCGTATGAATTACTATTCGTATTATATGTTAAGAATTGCAATTCGTACAATATGTTACGAATTGAAATTCGTACAGTATGTTATGAATTTGCAAAACGTATGATATGTTACGAATTCCAATTTGTTGTAACTAATGTTCGCTAGCTGGCTAGGTGGCTAATGCTAATGTTGGCTAGGTGGTTAACGCTAATGTTAGCTAGGTGGCTAATGTTAGCTGGGTTAGGGTTAGGGGTTAAGGTTAGGATTAGGAGTTAGGTTAAAGGGTTAGGGGAAGGATTATCTAACATGCTAAGTAGTTGCAAATAGCTAAAAAGTAGTAAGTAAAGTTGCAAAAATTGTAAATTTGTCCATGATGCGATTTGAACACGCAACTTTGGGTTGCTAGAAGTTCACATTATACGCCGACCAACCACTGAACTTTCGTTTTTGCCTTAAGTAACCTTCTGTCTTATGTAACCAGACCAAATGTAACATATCATACCAATTTGAGTGTCCCGGATTTACATTTACTATGCTACCTCTAGTCTGAGACCAGGCCATGCTGCTATGACAACAAACGCTTAGAACTGCTGCACTGCAGGGTCTTCCTCAGGAATGCTCTTATGTTCTCTGAGGTTGGATTGTGTTGTTGGGTTGTGTTGTGTAGTGTTGTGTTGTGTAGGTTACTAGAACAATCGGGGGGAAGTTGCTGAATCAATATTGAGTTGTCTGATCTTTAAAATATCACTCTTGCCTCATTGTTTGGTGTAAAATAAGGCCTTGTTTGAGTAATCACTACTACTGTCATTATACTAATTATGTGTGGTGTATATTCATTGTAAACGGTGTATGAGCAACATTAATTATTGTCACAATAATAATTTACGAGTCCACTTTTGACAAATTACACCATTATTTTCCTCTCCCAGCATTTGTTGCATAATATTTGGTGCTAGAAAGCTTAACTGATTGGCAGCAGTGAGAGACAAGCTTCATTAACCAAATACAATTGCAAGACTGATTGGTTGGGTCCAATGGGGACATTCAACATTCAAGCATCTCACTTCTAGCCTGTTTATCTCTCAAAGTGGGAATACCTCACTGGGTTTTGCACCCTGCTCTAATACTAGTGTGAAGTCTATCATCCATTCAATTGGAAGTAATCTCCTCAGCTCCGAAAATGTGGAGAACAGGAATGAAACAATGGGATTGTTTGAAATTGACACTTTTGTTTCACATCTACAGGGGTTCTGCCATTGCCAAGATTGTGGGCACCAACGCAGGAAAGCTTGACATATTCGACACGACAGTGAACATGTGGGTGTTTGAGGAGACGGTGAACGGACGCAAACTCACAGAGATCATCAATACAGACCATGAGAACGTCAAGTACCTGCCTGGACACAAGCTGCCTCCCAACATCGTAAGACTCATTCATTTCAGGTTTTCAAAATGCTCTGAAAAAGAATATGTGTATTCATAATTAAAGAAGTAACCCAGAACCAAATCTCTCGTGCAGCTAACATTTATGTTTACAGTTTGTCACGATCGAAATCAAAACAATGCATGTATCACCTTTTTGGTTCAATATTTTATTTATTTATTATTACCTGATTATTAACTAATCATAACGTAATAATGTATTATTACCAACTTTAAAATTTAAGTCTGCCACACTTAATCCGATTAATGTCATCCCCATGTAGGTGGCTGTTCCAGAGGTGACGGATGCTGTGAAGGGAGCAGACATCCTGATCTTCGTTATTCCACACCAGTTCATCAACAGAATCTGTGACACCATCAGAGAACACATCAAGAAGGATGCTGTGGGCATGTCTCTTATCAAGGTGAGTGGCTTTGCTTTCAGGGCCTGTTTGAATAAGGCCAGATGTTCAATTCAGCAGCAAACAATTGCCTTTTTGAAGGGCGAACTTCTGATTTAATTTACAGAATTGAATACTGCTGCTTCTAATTGTTGCTTGTTGCTGTAAATAGAATGTGTTCTCAGTCCCAAAGGGTGAAGAGGGGTGAGGCAGATCTACATTCCTAGTGTTCTGGTGTTTCAGGGTGTGGATGAGGGTGATAATACTAATAGATGTATCCATGGGGATATACGTTTCAGGGTGTGGATGAGGGTCCCGAGGGGTTGAAGCTGATTTCTGATGTCATCAGAGAGAAGCTGGGCATCACCATGACAGTACTGATGGGGGCCAACATTGCCAACGAAGTCGCAGAGGAGAAATTCTGCGAGACCACAATCGGTAAGGAGTGTGTGTGTGTGTGTGTGCAAAGCTATGCCCTGCATCTGTATATTTGATGCGTATGAAGTATAATCAAGGTGTATTTGGTTGCTTTGGAAAATAGAACCCAGTACATCTCATCCATTAAAAGAGCCCATGCCGATGCTTTTGTGTTACAGTAGTAAATATCGATGCATTTTATGATATGATGGTATTTGGGATATTTCATGTGTAATAATGTTTGTATTCTTCCCCCAGGCTGTAAGAACCAGGACTGGGGCCCCATCCTGAAGGAACTGATGCAGACCATTAACTTTAGAGTCACTGTGGTGGTGGAGGCCGATGTCGTAGAGATCTGTGGAGCTCTCAAGGTCTGCTTTTTTTCTCATAAAATGCTTTTACGTTGATCTCTTTCTGGTGAGATTAACTTCACAGTCAAACACCACTGTCAGTATGAAATTATGATATAGTAATCGCTTGCTTAATTTCTTATTGCGGTAGTACAATGCGCCTAATGATGGCATGCCATAGCTTTCTGTTTTTCATGGAAGCTGCAAGGTCCTCTATTCTGACCAGTGTCTTGGCAGATTATCCACAAATGTCTCCTGTGGTCTTCTGGGAGATCTTCACCTATAAGACATGTGGAATCAAATCAAATCAAATCGTATTTGTCACATGCGCCGAATACAACAGAATATGTACATGTAGGTAGAGTTATTAAAGTGACTATGCATAGATAATAAACAGAGAGTAGCAGCAGCGTAAAAGAGGAGGGGGGGGGGGGGGGGGGTAGCCATTTGAATCTAGATCTACACAGAGTAAAGAACAGGTATCCCTCCCCAGAACATAGTGGCGGTGGGAGCAGGGTTCTGTGACGGCCTGGGCTTCGGTGATAACACGAAGGCAGCGGTGATCAGACTGGGGCTGATGGAGATGATCTCCTTCGCCCGGATATTCTGCACCGCTGGACCCGTCTCCCCCGTCACATTCCTGGAGAGCTGTGGCGTCGCCGACCTCATCACCACCTGCTACGGCGGACGTAACCGCAAGATCGCAGAGGCCTTCGCAAAAACAGGAAAGGTGAAGAATGTGGAAAGCGAGAGGAATACAAGGGGCATTGTTGATATTCTGAGATTCTCTCTCTCTCTGTTGTTCTCTCTCTCTATTGTTCTCTCTCTGTTGTTCTCTCTCTCTGTTGTTCTCTCTCTCTGTTGTTCTCTCTCTCTCTGTTGTTCTCTCTCTCTCTCTGTTTTTTCTCTCTCTCTGTTGTTCTCTCTCTGTTGTTCTCGCTCTGTTGTTCTCTCTGTTGTTCTCTCTCCTCTGTTGTTTTCTCTCTCTCTGTTGTTCTCTCTCTCTTGTTTTCTCTCTGTGTTTGTTCCTCTCTCTCTCTCCTGTTTGTTTCTTCTGTCTCTCTGTTGTTCTCTCTCTCTCTCTTTTGTGTTCTCTCTCTCTGTTTTCTCTCTCTCTCTGTTGTTCTCTCTCGGTTGTTCTCTCTCTCTCTGTTGTTCTCTCTCTCTGTTGTTCTCTCTCTGTTGTTCTCTCTCTGTTGTTCTCTCGCTCTGTTCTCTCTCTGTGTTGTTCTCTCTCTCTGTTCTCTCTCTCTCTGTTGTTCTCTCTCTGTTGTTCTCTTTCTCTGTTGTTCTCTCTCTGTGTTGTTCTCTCTCTCTCTGTTGTTCTCTCTCTCTCTGTTGTTTCTCTCTCCTCTGTTGTTCTCTCTGTCTCTCCTCTGTTGTGTTCTCTCTCTCTGTTGTTCTCTCTCTCTCTGTTGTTCTCTCTCTCTCTGTTGTTCTCTCTCTCTCTGTTGTTCTCTCTCTCTGTTGTTCTCTCTCTCTGTTGTACTCTCTCTCTCTGTTGTTATCTCTCTCTCTGTTGTTCTCTCTCTGTTGTTCTCTCTCTGTGTTGTTCTCTCTCTGTGTTGTTCTCTTTCTCTGTTCTCTCTCTGTTGTTCTCTCTCTGTGTTGTTCTCTTTCTCTGTTGTTCTCTCTCTCTGTTCTCTCTCTCTCTCTGTTATTCTCTCTCTCTCTGTTGTTCTCTCTGTGTTGTTCTCTCTCTCTCTGTTGTTCTCTCTCTCTCTGTTGTTCTCTCTCTCTGTTTGTTCTCTCTCTGTTGTTCTCTCTCTCTCTGTTGTTCTCTCTCTTCTCTCTCTGTTGTTCTCTCTCTCTGTTGTTCTCTCTCTCTGTTGTTCTCTCTCTCTCTTTTCTCTCTCTGTTGTTGTTCTCTCTCTGTGTTGTTCTCTTTCTCTGTTGTTCTCTCTCTCTGTTGTTCTCTCTCTGTGTTGTTCTCTTTCTCTGTTGTTCTCTCTCTCTCTGTTGTTCTCTCTCTCTCTCTGTTGTTCTCTCTCTGTTGTTCTCTCTCTCTGTTGTTTTCTCTCTATCTCTCTCTCTGTCGTTCGCTCTCTTTTTTCTCTCGCACCCTCCCCCCCTCACTCTCTCTTTTCTCAATAAAAAAAGCTAATGTACACAATTTGTAGACAATTGAGGAGTTGGAGAAGGAGATGTTGAATGGTCAGAAGCTCCAGGGTCCAGCAACCGCAGCTGAAGTCAACCACATTCTGAAGAAGAAGGGCCTGGTGGACAAGTGAGTTACAATTATAGTATATTAATGTTAACATTCATATAGTGGATGAGTTTGGCTTCAGAATCTTCTGATAACGAGTTTTGTTTCTATGCTAGATAGGCCTGCAACTATCAGTAACTACTACCAACAGTAAATAGTAAACACACAAGTAACACTCCATCCCACAAGTGAGGAGACACTGACCTGCACAGTGAGAAGAGCTGTCAGGTGTCATGGCCCCTGACAATGTGCCCCTAAGCAACCAATCAGGGCCCAGGTCCACAGGTCACAGAGAGTTTGAGAGGCTGGTTTATGGTACCCCCTAGACTCTCAGGCACCACTCCTGGGGGATGGGGAGTGGAGTGTGCAGATTGAAAGGGTTGCGAGGTGCTGATAAGAGTCACCGGTAGGGAATTCGTAAGAATGTTCTTAATTGAACATCCGAATTACATGTATAAACCAATCTTATAACCTTTTCACACTACTGAGCCGAACCGAGCCAAGCCATAGTTGCTGGAACTGTGCTGGAAAGAACCATGTGAAAGGCGATATATGAGCCAGGACAGTACGGTTTGGACAAGGTTGAAGATGACAGGTTAAGACAAGGATTCTAATATCCCATAACTCTTTGCATAAATGAGGAAGGATTCTAAACAATGGGACCAGCTATGCTAGTTAGCAACAGGTGGTCCCATGAATCTGTTCATTTTCTAAAAGCTTCCGCATAGAATCATAACTTGTCCTAACCTGGGTATCTTCAACCTAGGGTTCGGGTAGGCCCTATAGTGTGGATCAGGCATTTTAACACTAAAACCGTTATCCCATCTTTCCTCCCTCCAGGTTCCCCTTGTTCAACGCTGTCAACCAGATCTGTTTCCACGGACACCCCGTCAAAGAGTTCATCAGCTGTTTGCAGAACCACCCTGAACACATGTAACTAACTGAAGGATGCTGCTACTCGGATGCTTTAAATGTTGGAAACAGCTGGAGGAAGGAAGGGAGGGAGGGAGGAAGGAAGGAAGGGAGGGAGGGAGGAAGGAAGGAAGGAAGGAAGGAAGGAAGGAAGGAAGGAAGGAAGGAAGGAAGGAAGGAAGGAAGGAAGGAAGGAAGGAAGGAAGGGAGGAAGGGAGGGAGGGAGGGAGGGAGGGAGGGAGGGAGGGAGGGAGGGGGAGGAAGGAAGGGAGGAAGGAAGGAAGGGAGGGAGGGAAGGAAGGGGGAGAAGCAGGTTGGATGATGATTGCGCTGCATCTAACTCACCTCTGTTTGAAATTAATCCTAAGAAAAGGGAGAGGAAACCTCAGCTCCTTCCTGGGCTGCTGGAATATTCAAACAACTCATAACCCCCTGTTCTGTTCCAACTGATTATTCATCTATTATTGGTGACGTTGTCACTAGGCAATGTTTCAGTAATGTGTCAGTGCTGTTTAGAAACTGTCAGAAAGACATTTTGTTTAGAATGCCCATATCCCTTAGTCTTTAACAGGTGAATTTTCTTCTGGGAGGGGAAGTGAATGGATGTGCTTTGGAAGTAAAACTTCAAATTGTCTTAAAAGAGTTTCCATTGTCAACATGAGAATGGCAGCTATCTTGTGGAAGTTGCATTTTACATAGTCTGGCAATCCCACACAAAAACACATGAAAGAAGTGCCTTGACATGCCTTTTCACCCAGTCACTGGTTAATATTAGTCTTGCAAACAGTTTCTGTTAACTTGTTATGTTTAAACAAAGGACTTGACTAAACAACCGTTGTTCACTGCTTATCCCTGGTTACAGCCTTCATGATGTCCTCTTTACTGAAGTAGCTTATGGCTTGCCTTGCTTATATGAATGGATGACATTTATTTTTGAATAAATTGTTCAAATAATTCCCCCCTAATGTTTTGGACTGCTTCAATGGTTTGACCTGTGCGATGCTACAGTGTAAAGTGCAGAGGACCTTCCCACACATGCTGTGCTCTCAGCACCGCTCCGTGAAATGTGATCTCAATCTGACTAGTCTGCTGCCCTAAACTCTTCACCTTTACCATTTTCTAGAGGGACGACTGCAACCTTTCTGTTCTGCTGAGATGTAGATTTCTCAGTACTCTCGTCTGAAACGATTGGAGGAAATGCATGGGGCCAATTTAATATAATCAGAACACGTGATTATATCTTGTTTTGGAGCAAGGGAATAAGTGTGTGTATTGAATCTTGCTGAATAATTAGCCAATTAAATATTTCATTTTCTCTTTTCAGATTTCTGAGGGTTCCATTATGCCAAAATAAGGATGTGATTTCAAAAGTAGTTTTGCATATAGGTTTGTGGACAAATTACTAACTTGTTTCGTAATACAGTATATAGGCTTTGATCAACAAACGTTGTAGTTTTTCCCTCCAAAACAGTTGATAAGGAGCTGGTGTTATGTAATATCATTACTAGATTCCCAAATTGACATGGTTTGCATAGTTATTAAATCAGCTACCCTATATGAGATCTCCTAATAATAGCACTACTCTCCATCGGGCAAAGGTGGAAGGTGAACTATATTTAGTAAGGCTCAGTGTAGATTGCTGTGGACCAGGGAGAAACTACTAAAATGCCCATCACAACATCAACTGCCCAATCAGATACTTTATGTAGGACTGGGATTCCCCCATGGGAACATACAGCCAGACAAATTAATATAAAGTCTCATAGAATAATCTGTTTATGTTTTCTTCCTCCATTTTTTCCAGTAAATCCACTAATTAATTGTACTGGTCCATAGAGTAGCCTAACCCAATGGGTGTGATTGTTTAGACATAAGACATATATTACACAGTTATTGTGCTATTATCGTCATACTGTATCATGACTAGGGCCAGGCGTTCTGGATGTTCTTTGTAGGTTTTTTCTTTGACCAGTATTTCCAGCATTATCCACTGGGTTTGCAGCAGGCAGAAAATCCTAGGACGTTCTCTTTCAGCGTTTTTCGACTGATGGGTCGTTGTCCCAAATTTGAGTTGGGGGAGGTTTTGAATGGGTGTCAAGAGTAAAAATAATAATAATAATAATTTAAATGAAAAAATACTCCAGTCTGAACATAAACCAAGTAGAACGTGTGTAGAAATGATAATGAACTTAAATAATAATTATTCAATCACAGTATTTTCCATTTTTGGTAACACTTTACTTGACACTTATTCAAAACGACTACTTCAAGGTCTCAGAGCGAGTGACGTCACCGATTGAAACGCTAGTAGCGCGCACCGCTAACTAGCTAGCCACACCAGTTACACTCAAACTGATCCTCTCCAACAGACTCAATCCCTGATCATCGGAGGTTATAAACATGGAGCAATTAGGACAGTTAAAGGGGAGAGACTATGAATCCAACCAGAAAATATAAAACATTCAAAATCAGAATATTGCTCGAAAAAAGAGCGCGCCAATAACTAGCCGGGACACTCTTAGCAAACAACAATATATTCTGCAAAACCTGCAATTTAGCATTAGATTATTATACATATGGGTATGATTGGCATTTTTATATCAGCAAATGTAGAGTGGGAAATGTAGACTATTTTCAGAACATAAATGGCTAGCCTATTTTCATTAGCTATAGAAATAAAAACCCAACAACTTCTCCAACTTGGTAAAGACCGCAGTATTTGGAGAGTTACGCTTTTCCGCCTCCACACAGCGCAGGTACACGGAACAATGTTGAATAGTTCACTGCCTGAATAGTTCCCTGCCTGTATCAGCCAGAACAATTTTAACATATTCTTAATCTAGCTCTCCCACAAAATATGAAGAACATATTGGTATTGTGTGTCAGTTGATTCGTCCATTATTATGGAGACGCTTTCAGATGATTATTTTTACCAGACCGTTCTTTACGTATGTTAATGAATGCACATGCATTTGGGGATTGTCAACTTTTTCGAGAGGAATGTTGGCGCGTGCAAAAGCCATATCCTCAGCATTTACGTTTTTAGGCCTACATGTATTTCTATAGCGAATGAAAATTGTAAATTTGTTCGGAAATTTTCTTAGATAAATGCCTATTATACCCATATAATGTTGATAACAGACAATAAGTTAAATATTTATGTTGATAATGTCCTTAAGATATGGTAATCATTTGGTGCATTAGGCTAATAATAATAAGCTATTTAGCAGACTCTTTTATCCAAACGACTTACAGTCATGTGCGCATACATTTTTACGTATGGGGTGGTCCTGGGGATCGAACCCACTACCTTGGCCTTACAAGCGCCATGGTCTATTGAGATACAGAGGATCCTGAATGTAAGGATCCTCTGTAGGCTGCTAAAGCGTAAGCTGCTGATGAGAACAATTGTCGGCAAACATTTATTTTGAAGTCAGTGGACAATTACATTAGATGATCATGGTACGCACACGTGACAATTAATTCACACGTGGTGTGAGATGGCGCTTTATGGAACTCTTTGTGTCGGTTGATCGAAATGGGGGATAATATCATGACATTTCAGAACGTCTCCCTTGTAATACTATGGATGGCCGCTTGGTGGTGCCATCATCTTGTTCAGCTTGTAAAGTCAACTCTCTGGGGCAAGACCATTTTTTACATACATTATAGGATACTAGGGGGTAACTAGCCCCCCCCTAAGGACAATGTCTAATTGCTGACCAAAAAAAAGCAACATTTTGAAAAAAAAAATGGTATGTGGATGAAGGTCATGCTTAGGCGAATAAACTATAAAGGGAAATAAATGGCTACAGTTTACACTTTTTCAGTGGCAGTTACCCCGGTAGAAGATTATGGCATAGGGTTTCACACAAGTGTGTTAAAATCCATTTAATCAGTTTTATCTCGAAATTATTTAGTAAGTAATACTTAAAAGCTAGTTGTCTTATTTTAATGATTTAAACAAAATATGTGGGGGAAATGGTGTTGCACATGTCACCATTAATATCCGCACTAAGAGGAGATTTGATGCAAAGTCCCTCTTTTTAACTCACCTTCACATACATTTTCGTTGTTCTTTCTTTGTTGTTCCTTTTCTATACAATCCATGATGTACAATTGCACTAAATATGATTTGAATAATGCAAGATTTTAAATCCCAGCAGTCTTTAAAATTACATTCAGGAGCAAAGGGTTTTCAATAGTTGTTTTTAATTCATTACAAAAATCTTTGGAATATAATATTGGAATGGAATATAAATAATAACATTAAATAACATTAGAATATAACATTTAATAACAATAACTTAACTAATTAACTCAGTGTAGCATTGATGTGACAACTCTCTTATGCTCTGCTATTGCACAATTCTAATTTGTACCTGTAGGTCACAAATAAAGCTATCCCCAGTCAAATTGGAGTCCACCTCCTGCACTGCTCACACCTAATCCAGTCCCCACCTGTGACTGAAAACTGGGGAAGAGATGCCAATTGAAAAGCTCTCTCTTAAAAACGTAGATAGCTATCTAGCTATATGACATAAAATGCGGTGTAAAATAGCTAAAAGGCTATAAAGTTGCATTAAGTGTAAAGCTATCAGTCACTAGTGGAAACATTTACAACTGAAATTAAGTTACGTTATCAAATGTATTTTACCTCAGACGATCTGGCAGTAAGGTTGCTAGCTAGTACTCCTAGCAGCTTATGCTAACTAGCTGGCTAGCATTTACTGCTAGTGAAGTTGCTAGCTAGCAAGTTAGCATAAACTAGCACTAACTGGGCTAGTCATTGTCTAAATGACAGGTAGAAACACGTTCATAACCATAAAGGGGTAACTACCCACCAGGGGCCAGTTACCCCCTAGTAGGGGAGGGGGGGGGGGGGGGGGGGCAAGTTGCCCCCAACACACTCATCCAACATATTACTACTTTACTAAAAAAGTATCTACATTTTTCTCTCTAAACAAGTGGATTATTTATTTTAAGGCCTTTCTACTTGTATATAAAACAATGTTTATAGATCTAACTTCATTGGATTATATCTACAACTTTTTCAAAATTTAAAAAAATTAGATAAATTTACCACAAAATGGTTTTGTTGAAATATCTCCAAAAGTTGTGATGACACAGAGGACATTTTTTGTTCAGCAAAATAATTTGGTGACATCTTGTGGTCTTTATGTTAATTACAAGGGGGGGGGGGGGGGGGGGGGGGGCTAGTTACCCCCTACTACCTTACATTCAACCTATCTTGAGCAGGGGCGGTGTGTTCAATAGGGCGATATGGGCGACGCACTGCCAAACGGGAAAAGGAAGGGATTTTTTTTCTAATCAATTATATCACGGCAACAGTAGTTATCAGTGTTCTAATCTGATCTGACTGCCACTAAATGTCAAATCAGGCTAAAGTCGTGCTTCAAATGGCCCCGCCCGTTTTTGGGGCGATTTCAGTCATGTTGAAAATCGCCCAGAAGTCTGTCATAGACTCCCATGTAAAATCTATTTTTTTCAAATTTCAAAGCTTTCAATACAATCTCTATGGGTGTCTGTGGGCTTGCACTTACGCGCTTTCGTCATACGTGACGTAACCATGAACGTAACTAAGAAAATAGCGGCTAGCAGCGTCTCTGTTGCGACCTGCAGTGTGGCGTTATCTTATGTTTTTAATTTGTACACTTAGTGGCGTTATTTTATGTTTTTAATTTGTACACTTAGTTTACAAACATTCTGCCAACCATGGATTTCCAGTGGTGGGTTTTGGACTGATCTTGTTGATCGTGTACATACCCGCTACGAACGGACTAAATAATGAAAACGCTGCTGGCAGCGGAATCCAATACAGCTGGGAGACTTGGCTGGATGACAGAGTCCCGGACAGAGAAGTGGAGCCGGCCGGCTTCACCCTGGTCAGAGCGGACCGCGATCTGACAGTCACAGGGAAAATCGATCCTGGTAAGAGAGCGACTCTGTACCCCCGACATTGAACTGCTTTCTGTGTCACTGCGACCTTACTATCTGCCCCGTGAGTTCCCCCAATTGTTTGTTACCGTTGTGTACTGTTGATAATCACAAGTTTACTGGAGAACTGAGACCAAGTAGAGACTTTGGACAGGGTGGATATGGTATAATAAAGGCAGTTTATTCAGAGGTAAAGATATCTGGAATCGCGTGCACGGACTCGTTCGTCAAACTCTTAGGGAGCTATCTGAAGAGAGCCCCGAAAACATTGTGTGCAGACATTTTATACAATAAATGATGTAGGTTGAATCTAGTAGTTCTGATCTTCTGATTGGTCCTGATGAGTTGGGCGAGGTCCCCTCCACTGTTGCATTGGCTCTGAGTCGGGTTCTCTGT